TTCTGCTGTTCTGAATAAGGTTCCACTGTGCTGGCTGTCAGTCACCCTCTAATAAATATTATTTTTATGGCTCTGTAACTCTTTCCTCTGGCCAGCACGCAAGCAGTCAGTTGCACGCAGAGCCCTACTTGGGGCAGGGCCTCTGGCTTGCCAGCACGAAGTTTGGGATGGCAGAAATCTATTTATTCTCCCAGGAGTATTTATTCACTCCAGAGTGTCGGAAAGAATGCAGTGTGGCACAGCAGTCATCCAGAACGGTGAGAAATATTTGTTCCAGGTACAAAATCTTCTTGCAACATGCCTTCATGTGCAGTGTAGCCTGTCCTGGGGCAGATGAAAGGGTCCAGGGAGTCTTCCCATAATCTTGCTCATTAAGAACTGATTCTTAAAGACTTCTGCTGGAAGAAACACACATGTGTCCAGTGCATTAGAGGTACTCTGGATCAACACCTTTCATTCTCCCTCGTCAGCAAGTCCCTGCTAAGGGCTTGACTTGAAAACAAATAGTGCTAAAACCTCCCCATCACAAATTCTTTCTTCTGGGGCAGGTTCCCCACTGCTCACTGAACAGTGTGCTTTCAGCCGTTGTTTTTGCAGTTTGTCAGCACAACCTTGAAAGAAAGGACTTTGGCTGAGAGCTAAGCACACGGTACCAGCTGTACCAATTTCCACCTCCTGGAATGCAGCAGTGGACTTTTGCACTGTCCTTCCTCACTTCCCTCAGTTAGGCTGAAGCCTCTGGCCAAAGTGTTGGCAGTTCTGGCTGGCTAACTCTGCCTGGATGCAAGGAGCAGCGGGTTTGGGCTCCTGCTGCCAGGGTGGGAGCTGCTGGCCGGCCACAGGCAGCTATGTGGGCTGAGGGCCTGAAGGCATGGGAGGAATGCTGATCTCCCCACACACTTTGGGGGTGAGCAGGGGAAGCTGGAATGCAAGAGCAGAGCACAGGAGAGGCAGAAGTGAGGGAAAAAGAGATACTGTGTGATAGATGGGACGGAGAGCAAGAGGGAGGTGTGAAATCACTCAGAGGATGGGCAGGATGTGAAGAATAAGGGCAATAAAAGGGTGAAGGAGTGTTACAAGCTCCTCACCTTCCAGGGATCGGGTAACAAACTGGAGTCTTTTCCCTGCTGTGCCTGAAGGGTACTGTATTTTGAAAAGAAAAAAAAACAAAAAAAATTAGTGTAGTGACTTTTTGTTGTGAAATAGTCAGGTTCTTGCGACTGGTTATAGCAGCAAAGTAGGCTAAAAACAAAAGCACCACGCTTTGCTGTTAGTCACAAACTTCTCTGCCCTCTCCTTTTCTCCTTTCTGTGCCTCCAGCAAGGAGAAAAGCAAAGCACAGTGCTTTCCTCCTCCTTAGCAGGGATTTTACACTGATCACAGCACCCGCATAGTGCAGTGCTGTTACCTCGCAGTTCTGATGCTCTTTATCCTCAATCAAATGTTCATGCAAAACACAGGCTCTTTGTGTGAATAGAGGGAAATAGGGTGAAGAAATTGTGTAATGCCAGAAGAGCAGCGTGCCTGGAGCAAAGGTTTGGAAGGATGATGAGAAAAGTGAATGGTCCAACCTCCTCAACAAACATTCTCAGGGCATTGCCACATGATCCGGAAAGTCCTCACTGTCCAGCGTCACTGAGATGTAAGGTTTCTTCAACCCGTCGCATGGCCTGTAGGTACCAGTGACTACTGGCTCTTTTTACCTTCTTCCCCTCTGCATTCCTCAGAAAAGAGTGCAAAATGGTATTTCCACCCCATCTCTCCCTCTTGCCGTTGTTTTTCCATCATAAATGAACCTAGCACACCTATTTTCTCTGGTAACGTATTGATGAAGTTTTATTCGTTATCCCAAGGGATTTGCAGGAATTAGGGTCAACTTGACATGAGTACTGTACAGAGCTATTTACAGCTGTGTGCTCCTCTTGTGTTGAGCATGAGACCAGCAGCAATTAGGACCGAGGCCAGTGCTTTCAGTGAATAATGGTCTCGGTTACTGGGAAATATTGGATGGTTTCATCTTTATGTGTTGCTATGAGGAAAAAAAAGTTAAGTAAACAAAGAAAAAGAATAAGGGGAGGGAGTGGTGTTTTTCTACTGGCATAGTCAAGAAGGGCAGTGAGGAAGAGATCGAGAAACTGGAAAACAATACTCTGGGTCTTCTCCTGGATCCCGCAGCACAGAGTAGAAATTTTCTTCATACAGCTTGATAGTCAAAATCCTTCTCTCTGAACCCTTCCTGTCCCTCGGAGACATTTTTCAGGGTTCAGTTTTGTTATTTGGGTGAACCGTTGTTTCTGAGATTTGTTTCTAATGCCTAACTTGAGGTCTTCATTGCCATACAGCCCTGAAACAACTGCATTCCTCCATCCCATGGCCTCCACATGGCCTGTACTCAGCACATCCCTGGGGTCCAGAACACCCCAGTTCTTTTAAGTTGTCCCTTTTTACCGGATACAGTCATAGTGTCACAGAATCACAGAACTGTTTGATTTGGAAGAGACCTTTAAATGTTTCCTAATCCAACTCCCCTGCAATGAACAGGGACACCTACAGCTAGATTAGGTTTCTCAGAGCCCTTTCCAGCCTGACCTGAATGTCTCCAAGAATGGGGCAACCATCACCTCTCTGTGCAACCTGTTCCAGTGCCTCGCTGCCTTGGCTTCCTCTAGGGCTCTGAGCCCTGAGATGGGTGCCACAGCGGGGGAGTTGAGACTAGGCAATCTTTAAGGTCTCTTCCAAAGACCTTGGAAGGAACTATGGGATGATGATTACTCTATGGTCCTATGGTTCTCTGATTCTCTGATTCTGTATCAGGAAGCTGAGACTGAGATTATTTCTTGATTTTTCCGAATCTGCTACACTGCCCTTTGCCTGTTGCCTATCTGCCTCTCCTTCTTTTAGATCAGGGAGAAAGGCTCTCAAATTCCTTGCAATATTTTAATTTTTACTTTTCTCAGATAAATAAGATAACCAGAGGGAAGGAATTATGCCGTGTCAGTGTTATTGGGTGTCTAGGTGTGAATTCAGCTCTTGGCCACCTTTGCCAGATTGGCTCAGAGTCTCTGACACCAGAAGCAGGGATGGCCAGGTTTTGTAGGCTACTGGCCGCCACATAGATTTTTAAGTCCATCTCCTTCAGCTGTGCTTTGCAGAAGGAAAGTGAGCTCATTTTGCTGCCCTGCAGAACACCTATTGAAGAGTGTCCATGATGGATGAGACCTGACATGAGCAGGGTGGCAGGACATCTCCTTGCAGCTTGCTTTCACTTGGCTTAGCTGGGGTCGCTTCCTCTTGCAGCCTTCTCTGTGGTGGCCCACAGTTCCCTCTGGAGATGCAGCCTGTAATGAGATCAAGATGGAGGACAGCCTTGTAGCAGCCCTCCATCCTGCTTGAGCATCAGAGGAGGGCTGCCAGCACACCTGGCAGTGGGACGAGGTCTGGGTATTCTTGCCTTCGAGCAGCACATGGAGCCATTTCTTCCAGGGCAGTGTGCACTCACTGTGATGATGCTGAAAAAGCCTTGGCTCCTTGCAGGCTGCTGGCACACACGGCTCGCTAGAGCACTGGCAAGTTTTTAAGGTTTTGTCAGATGGGAACAGTGGTGGGGAAAAGAAAAGTGAAACCAGATGTTTTTCCTTACGGTTGCTTCATATTCATATGCGAGGGAGAGGAGAGGCCATAAAAATGTCATAACCCTTGATCCCTGAGGCTCAGAGTTATACCCTGTGAAAACCAGTGCCATAAATCCACGCCTCCACCTCAATAGCCCCGGGGTCCTGAAGGGGCAAGAGCACTGCAATGGCTGCAGGGAGAGCCTATCAGCTGTCAGGAGGAAAAAGATTTTGGATGTTAGCACTGATAGGCTACTTTTATGGAATCAGTTATTTTTCCAGATTTCTCTGCGGGACTCATCCCGAGGCTGACCAGCAGGCTTGGAAATTTGGGATGCATCTGTGCAGCAATTCATCTATCCTTCAGGCTACGCAGACAGAGCTGGGTTAACTTTATCCTCCCCAGCTTGGGTGCTGCATCATCCCCTGCACTGTCAGCTCCCAGCCTGTGTATGCCGATCTGCCATACACAAAGCAGCTCTGCTCAGAGGGACTGGCTGCCACCAAAGGGGACCTGCTGGGGAGAAGGCTGACTCTGTCAGCTCTTTTTTTTTGTGTGTGTGTGTGTATGTATCATAAAGGCCTCTTGCTCTAGTCAGAAAACGAGGATTGCCAGGCAGCTCGCTCCAGGGAAACTGTGTGTGTGAGAGCGAGTGAGGAGGAGAGGAAATGAAAGTGGTGCACACATGCCTCCAGCCAAACAAGGATTGGAACAGAGAGCCATCAGAACACAGAGAAACCAGGCCTTTTCTGCCCTGTGCTGTATTACCTGGATGCTTTTCTTTATATATGTATTTTCTACACCTGTTTTGTGCCTATGCACAAAAGTGAGGTGAGGTAGGTGAGGCAGTAAGGAAAAACAATCCCCAGTCTGATGCAGACTATGGGTGCTGATGTGGGATGTGACTTCAGTCACAACTCAGACTGAATGTGACTTTTCCTGCAAGGTCAAAGGTGACTGGATTTAGCACTACTTTTGGGGATAATGTGTGTTCTATCCCATAGGATGCTGTGTTGTGCAACATATAGCCATGGTTACACTGCAACACGTACTGGAGTGTAAACAAGAGTAGGAATGTGTGTTGATGGTGATGGAGAGAGCAGCAGGCTTGAACTCAAAAAAATTAATTTTGGATCTTGATTTGACAAAGGCTCCTGTATTTTCTGTGGTCAAATCACGTAAAGCAGCTTTCAGTGTCTTCTATCCTTTCACAAAGCAAGAGTGCTTTTCTTAGTCTCCACTGGTTCCGTGATTGCCAGCTGCCAGGTGTTACAACAGGGTAATGTGACCAATTGGCTAGATTAATTTTTAAAAGTGTTTTCATATGCGGGATAGTCATTCTGTTAAATAATTTCATGGAATAACTACAGTTTTCTTTAACTTTGCAGAACGTTTTCCTGACGAAATGACTAAAAGTTTGGACAACTTGTGACAGGAACCACAGACATTACTTCTCACTGCTTCATTTACTTCTCAGTTGCCACACAACAAGACTGAAAGCTGGAGACGTTTTCAAACTGCCTGGCATGATTGTTGCACTATTTGTGTGAATGCTGGCACCCTGGCCATCCAGGTACACTGCGGCCATCAAAAATAAACTGTTCTGTGGGTGACTGTGCTTCCAGCAACTTTGTATAGATTGGGATATTCCTGGATGGATGGAGTTCTTCCAGTCTTTTTTCACTGTGTTTTCTAGACCTCTTATCTTTCTCCTTCCTCCCTTCTGGACTTTTTCCAGTTTGTTGGTGTTTTTGTGTCCAAAATAGAGTAGCAGTCCCCAGGGTGGAACTATTACCTCACTTGTCCTGAGGATTATTCTCTTGTTTATAAGTCCAGCATGTTGCATGCCTTTTTCATAGTGATATTATAGCACAGACTTTTGATCCTGCCCTGAAGAACTTGTACCTAGCCAGTGGATTCTCTGTGTAATCATAGCATCATTTACACTGAAAAAGACATTCAAGATCAGTAGGTCCAACCATCAACCTGAGCTACAGTCCCATCTCTTTAATACCATCCAAGATGAGGACTCTACCACTACTCTGGGCAGCCCATTCCAATGATTGACTACCCTCTCCATGAAGAAATTATTCATAATATCCAATCTAAATTTCCCCATCTTGGGAACTTAGATATTTTCTCCCAGCATATAGTACTTTGGTCTTGATCTTCTCAAAATGTGTTGTCTTTTTATGTGACCGTTCTTTCAGTTTTCCTGGTGGTGAGGCTGATAACGGAAATAAAGTTTTATAATGGATTTAGACAGTTGATCAATATTCACTTGGGGAAGGCTGGCTTGGGTAATGGAGTTGCTGCTGCAGGATAGAGCTCTGCAAGACAGAGGCAGATGTTATGGGTGAGACTGAAATGTGGTGGCTGATGTTACGGCACTCTGAGCAGCCCGATGTAGCTGCAGATGTCCTTGTTTGTTGCAGGGGAGTTGGACTGGATATTCTTTAAAGGTCCCTTCCAACTCAAAAGATTCTATGATGATGTTTCTGTGATGTTACAATTCTCCATTGTGAAAATACTAGTTAGCTCTGTCAAGCGATGGGTGTTGCTGTCCGGCTTTAGAAGTAATTAGAAAAGATTGCCTGCTCATAGGAATGAACATAAGAATAGTTTTTTATCTCTCCTTGAGTGAGTGAGTTAGTAATAGCCAGAGGGTGAGGATTTAATGTGCATACCTCCTGGCATTTTGCAAAATGACTGAAAACTTCAGCCAGTTTGCGAAATGACTGGTTTCACAATGTGAGATCTTGTGTGCCTTAAAAGGCTGCTATAACTGAAATGGAGCCGTACTCAGCAGCAGGTCTGACTGTTCAGAGAGAGATGAAATTCTTCTGCAGAGAGCAGAGGCTGCTCTTGCCGTCATACGTTCTCCTGATCACCATTAGGGGAGAGAACTTGGAAGCCATTACGAAGGTGAAGCTGGTCTTTAAACTTCTGATATCCTGGTAACTCCCCTCGTGCTGCAGTTTTTTGCTGCTGTGAACAACCTCTCCCCCCACGCACTTGTCCCTGCTCCTTTTGCTTCAGTTGAGCACAGCAGAACTTCTGGGGGATTAAGAACCACTCTTTCTGCCATGCGAGTGTTAGGAGAGCAGAGCGATTGCTGGGCAACTGATGAGCTGGGGCGAAACAGCTTTGGGAAAGAGCACAATGTTCCTTTCTTTTTATGGAAAGTGATATATTACTATAGACTACAGTAATCCAAGGTCTGCTCTTAGCTACTTCACGATTAGCGAACAGGCCCCACTTGTGCTGTACCAACCATTTGTGCAGCTGTGGTAGACACGAGGATGTCAATTAATCTTGATTTGTGCTATAGGATTACTTCATATGAGAGGAAATGTATCGCTGGGTTTGGTTTCAGTGCAAGTCAACGGATGCTATATTTGCAGGGAACGCGCGGGCCTCTGCCGTGCCAGGCAAGCCCTTGGTCCCTGCTGGAACTACCCCAGCAAATTCCCTCTCTTCTCAGGAGTCCTCTCTTTTCTCGGGAGCTTGGGGTGAAAAGATGGAGGAATCAGCACTCAGCACCAAATGTTCTGCAAACTTTGCCCATTCTGTCCCTCCGTCGTACCCATTGTAGGGAAAAGAAAAATGAGGCTTTTCTCAGACATAAAAATCATTGTAATTATTATTTGCATGACGGATTAAACTCTGTGAGGCGCAGGGTAAACAGAGAAGCAGGTGAAGTCCTGTTTCTGCATCAGAGAGCACAAAGTCTACATAGAGAAAACAAATAAAAAGACAAAAAAGATGTAGGCAAGCACATCCTCTGCGAACAGACAAGTGTTGTGTCCTAATATCCCTTCTTCCATCCTCCTGAATCAGAGAAAAATGAGTTTATCTTCAAAACCACAAGGCTCGGGGAAATAAATAAACAGCAAACCACACATGTGGCATTCTTCTTACTTGCTTCTTTTGCAAGATGGTATTGAGGTGTGATGAAAAAATACAGATTAATGGGTTTTGGGACAAAATCATGAAAGCTGCCAAACTGTTTCTGAGTCCAGTGCCCGTGTGTACCTGTTCTTTTTTACCTGAGGTACCTGCCCTTGCTGCATGAATCCACCTTCCCCAAGGACCAGGCTGCTTAGCAATGGGTGCAGGGCAGCACGTGCTGGCTGATGGAGCCAGCACAGGTCAAAGCAGGGGACAGGGAGCAGCACAAGCTTTGGCAGAAGCTGCTCAGGAGCTTGGGAGATCTAAGGCTGAAATCCTCACTGCTGTGCATACACGACGATTGCTCCCTGCCTGACCTCGTGAGGCTGCAGCTAGCTCAAGTATGCCAGCCATGCTGATTGTAATGTGGAGATCACTGTACATGAGCCAGAGGAGAAAATAGCTGGGCAGATGGTGCTATATTAAGGAGAGTGTCTCAGAATTGTCTGCTGGGACGCTCTGGGGGCAAGGGCCTGTCTTGGCCTCACTTGCTCTCTGCTTTTCTCAGCGCCTCCTTCTTTTTTGCCCTTTACTCTCTTCCTGGTGGATCCTCCCTTTCTGAAGGCCCTGAGGCTGCTACCTCCACCTGCAGTTTGGGGAAATGATACCTGGATGTACAACGGTTGTGCCTCACCTATATTCAAGCACATCCAAAGACCCTCTATTCCCGCACCCCTGATCCAGCTCTGTTCTGCTGAGGGTCTCATGGCAGGACCAAGGCTGCAGTTTTCTGCAGGAATGGGCTGGCACGGGCAAGGGAGGGCCTCCTAATCTTCCTCGTCAGCAATCAGCTTTCTTCTGTTGTCATAGGGGGAGGACTTGCAGCAGCATGTTCCTCTCCCCAGCCTCAGCTCCCCTCCTTCTCCATCCTCCCACCATCCCAGTCAGCACCAGCCCTGCTCCGCTTCCCTCCCAGCTGCCGCCCTTCCAGCTCTCCCCTCCGGTTCCCAGCTTAGCTCCAGTGAGCAGGGCAGCAGGCAGGGCAGGGAGGGGAGGACTGTGACAAGACACAGCCGCTGGCTCCTCCTTGACAGCACTGCAAGTGGCCCCTAGTGACCAGCAGCGGGGCAGGCTGGGCACGGACGACTGCATGGCACTCAGCATCCTCTTGGCAGGTCAACATGCACTCCCCCAGGTCACCTTCTGCAAACAAACAAGATCCATCCAGCATGAAAAACAAATGGTACAAGAAAAATGCCTGGGCTGATGCAACTGAAGGACCTGGAGATTTGTGGCTCTGTAGTATTACACTTAAACTGTTTGGTTTTTTTTCTTTCTTTCTTTTTTTTTTTTTTTGGTGGCACTAGGATCATTTCCTAGAGCAAGGAGGTCTCAAGGAAGATGGGCTGAAGTTCCTTTCCTCATATCCTCTCCAGCTCTGTACAGAGTGTACACATTGCAGGACTTTTCCAGCCTTTTGAAACATCCTACTGGATGAAAAGAGAGTAGCTGAAAGTATGTGGAACAGCCATCCTCCTTTATCAGTGCAGGCATCTGGTGTTTGGGGGCTCTGAAAGGAACAAAGCTGTCTGGACAGATGTGATATGAGCTCCAGTGCAATATATCTGGGCTGTGGCTGCGTCACATCACTGATCACTGCAGAGAATAGGAGTGTAGAGAAAGCCTGGAGTTACTATAAGAAACTGTTTACATGTTCAGGATCCAATGTGTGCAGTGAGAAAACAGGCTGCCTTCACCAGTCCATCAGAGGATCAAAGACGGCAAAACTGGGAGAGATCATGCTTGCTGTCGGTAGGGATGCTGGAAGATAAAGAAGCACAGCAGCAGCCCTGACATGGTGACAAAGGCACACAGGGACACTGCAAAAGGCACGTGGGACAATGGTCATCATTTGCTCTTCACACAGCACACATCTTACTTAGCTCTACCACTGGAAGAATAATTTTACCATCTGTGAATGGTTTCACGACACTCCTTTTCCACACAGCCCTTCCACAATTATTTTTTCCATATTCAGTTTTGACAGGTTTTCAAGTCTAAGACTGTCACAGAGAAAGAATTTTTGTTCTTTTTTTTTCTTTCTGGCTCTCGAACATTTAAAAATCTTGTCCACAGCATTTCTCCCAAATAATTGTTGTGGCTGTGTAAATATGATGCTTCTCAGCTTATCTTGTGCGTTTCATTATCGCTATGGAATGAAAAGGCAAGGGAGATCCCTGGCTGCCCGATGCAGAGGGTCTGTGCTTGGAGAGGAGAGGGAAATACTAATTCTGTTGTAGAAAGCAATGTGACATGCCATGCACACAATGCTGGGCAGTTATGGTCATTCACTTTCAAAAAAGATTGATTCACACTGGAACAGGTGCAAAGAAAGGCTGCGGGAGGATTAGGGCGTTGGAGAGCTGGTGTTATAAAAGTAGACTGAAAGAGCTTGGCTTATTTAGTCCAGCACCAGGCAAGCTGAAAGAGGGATATGATCGCTCTCTATAAATACATCCTGGAGGCTAGCGCTAAGGAGGAAGAGGAGCTATTTAAGTTAAAGGACAATGCTGACACAAAAGTGAGCAGGCATAATAAACTCGTCCTCTATAAATCATAGGATTACAAAATGGTTTGGGCTGGAAGGGGCCCAGAAGATCACCTAGTCAGCTCCTCTGCCACAAGCAGGGACACCTCCCACCAGATCAGGATGCACGAGGCCCCATCCCACCCAATTTTTTGAGCAGTTCCAGTGGTGGGGAATCGACGGCTTCTCTGGGGAATCTGCTCCAGTGCTTCACCCGGACCTGCAGGGCTGTGAGACAGGCAGGGCCCTGCTTGCTGCCATGCTGTCTCCAAGCATGTCCAGGCTTTCCTGAGGAGGATGGCTGGGTGCCTGCCGGGCCTGAGCTGACCTCCTCACGGGACTTCCACCAGTCCATCACCTGCAGGCATAGCAGCCTCAGTTCTGTCTGGAGAGGGAATAACCAGGTGTGGGTGGCTGGCTTTGTTTTGTGGCTCAGGAAGGAGAGATTTTGGAAAGATTTCTCTTTGGCCTTGGAGGTTCAGGCTGTGGAAGGAGATGGCTGCCTGGCCTGGGCTGAGGAGCACTGGTGGCGCTGGGGCAGCAGCATATGGCTGTGGTCGGCTGACCAGCATGTCCCCATGAAACCGTGCACTTTTCATCCCTGGTATGAAGCATGGCTGACTGGATTCAACCCTGAGAAGATCCTCCGGGGCATGTGTCACTAGAAATCACTACTGTCATGTTGTACTTTGAGTCCCCAGCTTCTCCTCAGATCTCGCTGCCCACAAATGTCGGCAGCGTGAGCCTAAGTTGCTCTTGGTGATGGGAGCTGAATCACT